GACTATAATGCCAGCACTCTGGGAGGCTGAGATGGGAAGATTGCTTGAGCCCAGGAGTTCAAGATCAGCCTGGGCTACATAGCGAGCCCAATCTCTACAAAAAACTTGAAAATATTATCCAGGCATGGTAACACACACCTATAGTTCCAGCTACTCAGAAGGCTGATGTAGGAGGATAGCCTGAGCCCAGTTCAAGGCTGTGGTGAGCTATAATCCTGCCACTGCACTCCAGCGTGAATGACAGAAGGAGACCCTGTCTCAAAAGAGAGAGACAGAGACAGAGAGGGAGAGAGAAGAAGGGGGGGGGGCAGAGGATTTGAAGAGGGGAATTCTCATTTTCCCATAAACCAAAAAAAAAACAAACTGGAAAAGATTCCCCTACCTTGAGGTACAAAGGTGATAATGAGGAAGTCACAAGGACTTCCTGTTAGGAGGAGGCAGCAGACAGGGCCATGAATAACTTCATGGAGATTCCCTCCACGCAGGCATGGTGTGCATGTGGTATCATGGATGGTAACCTAGCTAAGCTGCTGGGAGCTGTCTACCCAGCAAAGCTCTGTGATGGAAGAACTTTGTGATGCTGCATAAGGGAGGAAAGGGGAAAGAGTGACTATTTCTTAGGAATGCTGTGTTGTTCAGGGCTGAGGATACTTCACATATATTTAGGAATCATATATATCAAATTACTAGATGCACTTTATAGATCACCTTATAACAACAATAAGAATGCAAAGAGTTTTAGAAATATCTTGGAGCAGGACTTACCAGAAAGTAAGCAAGGTCCAGGGCCACTTCCATTCTTTTTTAGTCTCCTGGAATATTCAAATAATTAATAAATACAAACATGGCAAGGTGCTGTGGTTCATGTCTATTATCTCAGCACTTTGGGAGGCTGAAGTAGAATTGCTTGAGGCCAGGAGCCTGAGACCAGATTAGGCAGCATAGTGAGACCCTAGCACTACAAAAACTTATTTATTGGAGTTGGAGTCTCACTTTGTCGCTCAGGCTGGAGTGCAGTGGCATGCTCATGGCCACTGTACCCTCAACCTGCTGGGCTCAGGCAATCTTTCCACCTCAGCCTCCCAAGTAGCTGGAAATACAGGCACATGCCACCATGCCCGGCTAATTTTTTTTAATTTATTGTAGAGATGAGGTCTTGCCAGGTTGCTCAGGCTGGTCTCAAACTCATGGGCTAAGGCAACCTTCTCACCCCAGCTTCCCGAAGTGCTGGGATTATAGGTGCGAGCCATTGCGCCTGGCCCTAGTGTCATATTCTATTGGTCAAAGCAGGTCACAAGGCCAGCCCAGATTTAAGGGGAAGAGAATAAACCTTAGCTTTGATGTGAAGAGCTGTGAGGGCCTACAAAAATAAATAAAATTGTTGGCAGTTACATTTGGAGACTATCTACAATACAGGGTTATAAAAATTGTGATGTATTTTAAGCGCTTATGTGCATTTAACATATTGATTTTTTAACGTAAAATTATATGATGACTATATGATTAAAATTGTTTGCGTATACTCTCAATATTCTAAATATAAGGCGTATCCCAAAGGGCCCTCTTACTTCCCTACTAAGCCCTTAGAGTCTAGGAGGGAAGTTTTTTTTTTCCTTTCTGGGCCTGAATGATTGTGTAATTTCAACAGGCACCAACAATCATTCATAAGTGCACTTGTTCTTCTCAGATATAGTATTCTAATTTTAGGCTTAGCGAGGTCACCAAGAAAATTCCAGGTCAGGCATGGTAGCTCACACCTGTAATCCCAGCACTTTGAGAGACTGAGGCAGGAGGATCACTTGAGACCAGGAGTTTCAGCCTGGTCAACATAGTGAGACCTTGTCTCTACAAATAAATGAAAATATTAAAAATAAAAGTGAAAAAATCAGCCAGGCATAGTGGCACATGCCAGTAGTCCTAGTTACTCAGGAGGCTGAGGTGGAAGGATTGCCTGAGTCCAGGAGTTCTAGCTACAGTGAGCCTTGATCATATCACTGCACTACAGTCTGGGCAACAGAGTGACACCCCAACTGAAAAAAAAAGGAAGAAAGAAAGACAAGAAAAATTCCTGATTATCTCCCTACCACGGGATCAGCCTCCTCATTTTCTGTCTTAGTCCACTTAGTGTTGATATCATTGAATACCTAAGACCATAAAGAAAAGTTTCTTTGGCTTTCAGTGCTGGGGGCCAGAAAGTTTGAGATGGGTCCTCCGCATCTGGTGAGGCCACAGGTTGCTTCCCCACCTAACAGTTGGCAGAAAGAAAGCTGGCATGTGCAGAGAGCACATGGCAAGAGAGGAAGCAAGCGGGGGGCGGGGGGAAGCCAGGCTCTTTTTGACAACAGACCAAGGTAAAAATAGAGCACTAGCTTGCGCCTGCAGGGAGTGCATTCTTCTATTCATGAGGGGTCAGTCCCCATGTGCGTGCCACTCCATGGCTACTCCCTGTATGTTAAGGGTGAAGTATCACCTGTAGGACGATCTGATCCTATGGCAATTCAATTAATCATGCCAACTAGCAGTGCAGGTGACATGTCCCATAGATCAGAAATGAGAGGAAGTCCCAAGGGACATCGAGAAATATCCTGAGCTCAGGAGATCCTTCTGCCTCAGTCTCCCAAGTAGCTGGGATTACAGATGCATGCCACCACGCCTAGTTATTTTTCATTTTTGTAGAGACAAAGTCCCTATGTCCCTATGTCCCTATGTTGCCCAGGCTGGTCTCAAACTCCTGGGCTCAAGCGATCCTCCTGCCTTGGTATCCCAAAGTGCTGGACTTATAGGAGTGAGCTACTGCACCAGGCCCATACATTCTTTTATTATTATTATTATTATTTTGCATTGGAGTATCCCTCTGTTGCCCAGGCTGCAGTGCAGTGGCACACTCATGGCCACTGCAGCCTCAACCTGCTGGGCTCAGGTTGTTGGGAGCCAGCCTTGGAGGTCCACATGATTGACAGGGTCCCAATGGGCCGAAGACCCCGGGCCGCAGGGTGAACCCGGGAAGCTGAGGCCCTTCTGTCTTCCACCTTTGCTGTTTGGTACCGCCAAAGAAATTCTGTGCAGTCGTGGAAGAAGAAAATGGCATGTTTATGCGAAGTACTCACACCTAACCTGAGAATGTCATGGTTCATTTTTTTATTTTCCCACTATGCCGCTTGGCCTTTTCTAACGTATGCAAGGGTTAAACTCTGAAGTACCTCAAGAATGCTTTCTTTCACTTGGTTATAAGTTACTAGATATTGCTTAAATAAAAAATGATGTTAGTATATTCACTCCTTATTTGATTTAAAATTATGCAGTTTAGTGGTTAGACATAAGGTTTTTTAAAAACACAAGTTTATAGTAAGTTTATTATCAATTCATTATAAGTTCTAACACTTATCTAGGAGTTATGTAGGTGATTTATAACACTGTTTTCACTGACTTAAGATAAAGATTAATCGTTAAGGTTTTTACTTAATTTAATAGTTAAAACTCTAAGTTAACATTTATAGAGTGGGTTTTCACTGAACTCAGAATATAATAATTGGACACTTTTATGACAGATCAGCTAAAACACAAAGCAACCTTGAGGGGCCTGGGAAACATTACTAAAAGCTTCTTTTGAGTTTTCTTTAGAAATAAACACTGCAAGATAAGAGAAAAGTAACGAAGACACCTGGACAAGAAATGCGATTACAAAACGTTGAAGGTCATAAAAGCCCAAAAGAAGATAAAAACTGCTACATGAAAAACTGTGCACCTGGGAACTTTCTTGAAACATTTCAAGGACTGTAATTCGGGACTTTAAACTAAAACTATCATTTTTGGCTTTATGATAAAGACTCATTAACTGAAAGTAGATAGTGTTTTTGGCTTATTTGTTTCTTCTAAAGACCGCTAGATGGTGGTAACTTTTAAAGCATATGTACATGAAGGAATTTTCTTTGTCTTGCCCTTTACAAATGGTATAAAAGCTCTGTGTTAACTAACATTAAATTGTCATCTGTTCAGAAAGCAGGTGTCCGAGTATAATATTTTCGTCTTTCACCTATCCGTCTCTCCCTCAGGAGATCTCACGACCTGGCAAAGGGGCTAGACCCCCGCATCAGGTGATCCTTCTGCTTCAGCCTTCCAAGTACCTGGAACCACAGGCACACACCACCATGCCCAGCTAATTTTTTTGTTGTAAAGATGAGGTCTCACCAAGTTGCCCAGGCTGGTCTCAAAGCTGTGAACTCAGGTAATCCTCTCACCTTGACTTCCCAAAGTGCTGGTATTATAGGCGTGAGCCACTGCACCTGGCCTATACCTTCTTTTAAAAAAGCTGTTTATAGTTTCTATAATTAGGTTGGTTTTTTCTGTCTGGTGTTCATACATCTTTAAAATGCTAGTCTGATCAGCTGTGCTAAGAGGAACCAAGAAAGAGGTTTTTGTCCAGCTGGTCCAGAGTTTTCAAGGGGAAGCAGTGTACCAGCCACATGACACAGTGGAAACAACAGTGAGAGGTGCTCAGAGGGAAGGTAAACTGAGGGCAACTGAGCTAGAAGTCCTTGGGCATAAACCCTCCCACACTGGGGCATTTTATCAAGCCTGGCTCCATCTTTCCATCCCCATAGTCTGTTACTACCCTGGTGGCCACGGCAGGGGCAAGAAGGGACCTCAATGAACAGTGAGAAGGAAGAGTGACCTGGGATTGGTGGCTCTGACCTTCAGGGGTTGGGTAACCATAGAGTTTGCCCTCCAGAACGGAGCCAGCAAACAGAAAATCTGATTTCAGTAGTCAGGAGTAGAGGCGGAGGTTCAATTTGAGCATGAACCTCTGAGTACCATGTATCCAGGCAAGCACGTTACCAAATCTTTTTTATAGTTAGGAAAGGAGAAGACATGCGCATTGAGCAGGACTCCAACTGATGCTGAGGAAGGGGACAAGTGAGGGTTGGTGGGCTAGCGGGCCATTAAGCAAGCTAAGTAGACAGAACTTACCTGAAGCAGAGGTGGGGACACAATCATAGGCTATGACCACAGGACTGGGGGTAGGGACAAGGAGCTGCCTGTGGGCACATGAGGACTGGGGACCACCCTGGCATACTAACTATGAGGCTGGGAACAGCTGGATCATTCTGGACCACAGTAGGCGCTGTTTCTACACAGGACTGGCTGATTCTTTGGGGCTGCTGCTAGAAGCCCTTTGGTAGTGGCAGGTGAGTGGAGCCAGGAACGGGTAGCCACGATCACTGTCAAGACCCCCATCTCGGTTCTGCCCTTCACCATCTGCTCTGGTTATCCACTGAGTAACACAACACACCAACACTTAGTGGCTTAAAACAACAACGATCCTTTATTCTGCATTTTGTGCAGGCCTCAGCAGAGAGGCTCATAATGTCTGGGGTCCATGACTCAAAAAGCAAAGGACAGCAGGGGGCTTGGAGGGAATCTCTTCTCCTGTAGGCTCAGAGCATCTCCCTGCAGTCTGTCCCCTGCTTTCTCCATCAGGGCAGTCTCAGGGTAGCTGAACTTGGGGTGGCTCACGGCTCCAAGGGCAAGCTTCCCAGGGCCTATGCAGGAGCTGAAAGGCATTATTAGCTTTGGAAACTCCAAGATACGGTCATTTTCACCATATTCTATTGGCTTAACAAATAAAATTCACCCCAACATCAAGGGGAGAAAGTATAGAGAACATTTTCTTGGCCACTACAGTAGCATTATCCTCATTTTATACCCAAGAAAACTGGGGCTCTTGGAGTTAAGTAACCTAACCAAAAGTGTGGCAAATAACTTGCCATCATTTTTTAAAACATCACACTATCTCACCAAGTCCTCAGCAAAGCCTCCTAACTGATACAATGTCCCCAGATTTTTGTAAGTGGCAGTTTGGGAGGCAGCAACGCACAGCATAGAAAAAGCAAGGGATTTGCAGGCCACCAGTTCAGCATCCTGGTCCAGGCAGGATCCACCACTCAGCAACTGGCTGAGCTTGTTAGCTTACTTAACTCCTGGAGCCCCAGTTTTCTTGGGCATGAAATGAGGATAATATTACCACAGTGGCCAAGAACAGGTTCTTCTCAGATCTTCCCAGGCAGACAGCATAACTGAACAACAGCTCTGTCTCAGTTGCTGAGCTCTGCTGAAATCTGTCCTCTGATACTGGTACCCAAGTTGGTGCGGAGGCCAACCCAGTCAAAGCACAGCAGGGATACTAAGTCAGGGCTGTTTCTGGGAGATGCCAGACTCCAACCAACAAGCTCATCGGGCCCACCCCTGCCTATGGCCTTGACATGAACTGTATTACCAGATGCTTCCTTCCATCCAGCCTTCCTTGCTTCTTCCCTTCACAAGGGTCACCCTCCCCCCCACCCAGGTCCAGCTTCCTGTCCATTTTCCCTCCTAAGTCTCTTACTTACTACCCTTGATCTGGCAGTTCTGGAGAACTGGGACAAACACAACCACCTATTCCTAGGGCTGCTGTGGGTATTAAATGAGAAGGCATGTGCAAAGCACGTAGTAAAGGCCTGGCACAGAATTAACACTTATCCATTCAACTAGCATCTACTGAGCCCTTGCCATGTGCAGCGAGCAAAGCAGACAGAGCACCAGTGATCCCTGATTTAAGCTTCCAGCTGACCCCAGTTCTCCATGGGACACAAAAAACTCTTCCAAGCCTGACCTTCGGGGAGCCACGACCTGACCCCTCCAGCTCCCCATCCTGCACACCTGAGCCTACAATCAGAAGCAACTTCCGTCTG